CAAAAAGTTTTTATCTTCAGATTTTCAAATTATAGAACCTATTTTTTTTCAAAACTGCTCTTTTCTAACTACAAAAGTTACTTTATTTTATATTTATACATGTAAAAATAAAAACTATAAACTCTTATCTAAAGATATGTACACAATTTTAAAAACATATCTATTCATTTTTTTAATAAACCTTTTAAAACTTTTTTTGTATCTCTAAAAAAAGACTATTTTTAAAACAATACTGTTTATTTCTAACTATTTAATTTTCCTATCTGACCAACAATACATAGCAACTTTTTCAAAAACTATCCTACTACATATACTAAATAAACTTATACTTAAAACAAATAAAAAATTTGTTAAAATTAATATTAAAAAACTATCCTAAAACACTCTTTATTTCTATCTTAAAGTTTATCTAAATATGACAACTAAAAACAACAGTATTATAGATCTTGAACTTAATAAAGGTTTAGAAAAATTCATTACATCTACTATTAGTTCACATATCCTAGCATGAATAATCTTCTATTTCATATTTAAAGCTAACCAAAATGTTCTATTATACAAATTTAATTTGATTATGATCAAAAATATCTTTTAGAAACAGAAAAATTTATTATAAAACATTATAATATTAAAATTCTTTTAATACAGAATAACATCCTCTTTTTATTTTCAACTACTATATATAGTTTATTTTTTTAATAAATTCTTCTATAGATAACATAAATACAGCTATTATTTCCAAAATAATGATTTTTTTTTACTAAAAATATATTATTTTTAGAAAAGAATAATGTATTTATATAAAAGACCAAGTTAATAATAGTCAGACCCAATATACAAAATAGACTTTGCAACTGTAAAAACTAAATATACAATAAGTAAATCTATAAAAGAAAATTCCAATTTTTTAAATAACATTTCATTACATTATTTTAAGAATATAATTTTAAAAAATATTTTTCTATCTTATTCAAAAAAATCTTATATATTAAACATTTTTATAATTATTTCTATAAATTTAAATATTACTAAAAATAATTATGAATTACTAATAAAAGATGATAATACTTTAACTTATCAATACTAAATACTATTCAAGAAAAAATTCATATTTTAACTTCTAGTCTACTTAAGATATATAATTCTTTAATATATTATAACAAATTTCTTTTCTTTTACAATCTAAACTCTTATCAGTACTATAATCAATAGGCCTTTTTTTAAAATTCATCTAAGATAAATATTCAATATATTTCTTAGAACAATATATTAAAATTTTTATTAAAATGTAAAGGTTTTGTTATTCAAAGTATTTTGTATATAAACTTGCCAATAAAAATACTTAAAATTTTATTAAAGAAATTTTGTCAGATTTAAATAATTTTGAAAAGTATATAAATTTAAGAATAAAAGTATATTAAAAATAGAAGCTTAGTTTAGTCATAAGGCTTACTAATCTATTTGAAAGATTCTGGCATATAATTAATAATAAATAAAGATAAAAATAGAAAATAAATATAAATTATTATAAATCAAAATCAATTATTAATACACATGTTAATTACATCATTGATAAGCAAAATTGCACTATAAAGTGAAGTAAATAAGTCATAATGATGCTTATATATCTATGTTATGTTTGCTAAATTAATTCTAATTATATTTGATAAACTGATAAACTAAATATGATTAAATTAATTATAGTAATTAGCATGTAATTAAAAAAAGACTTAGAAAAATAATAAAAAAAAATTATGAAGAAATTATAATATTATTACATTTTCCTCTTCTTAAGATTTGATGTTCTCATTAATTCAAATTCTTTAAGCTTTTCAGAAGCATTTTTCATATTTTCAACAGGTTCTCAAGTTGCATCATATAATGGATAATCTAACTATTTAACTAAATACTGTGTTTTGTTGTAAATTAATCTTTTATCTAAAATTTGTTCAACTTTATATTCAGCTTCATTAGATTTAGGGATGATAATAGATTAAGGTGGAGCTTCATAGTTAAATTCTTCAGATTCTTGATAAGGTTTTAATATTGAAACATAAAATAAGAATAAATTTTCAAAGTAGAAGGTAAGTCCAATCAATAACTTGTTAATGTGATTTTGGCAAAGATAGTATAAGGTCCTAAATATTTTGGAGCCAATTTATAAGAGCATGGTTAAAAATCCATTTATTAGTTGATTAAATTTAGAGCTGCATATGATTTTCAAATCATATAACTTACTTATTAACCAATCAAAATTAATATTAACTTGCTAAATTCAGATAATCACATCTGATTAATTAGAGTTATAATAATTAGTTAATAGAGTTTTTAGATTTTACAATTTGAATTTTAGCATCATCTATGATATTAAATAAAAATTTTAACATTAACTTTTATGACCTATATAGAAAATATTTTGATATATCAAATTTATTTAATTAACTTATAAACCTCACTATATTAAGCTTTAACTATATATTAAAATAAATTTATTAATATTAAAAATTTTCAAAGTTACAAACACTATAAAATGTTTATTTTTTTATTATATATAAAAAATTACATTAACTAATTTTTAAATTTTTAGCAACAATTAGTACAAAAATTCAAGAATATTTGTAATATTATATAATGGATTATGAGGAGTATAAGAAAACTTATTTTTATTAGACAAGTTAATTAATTCAAAATGTGAAGAATTTTCTACAAATGCTAAAATAATATAATAGTATTTAATAACTATATTATATTGAGATTAATAAAACTTGATTTGTATATCTGCTATTCTTTTATTTAATTGATTATTTTCGATTTTTGAATTTAATATTTCAGTTTATTCAAATCACAATCTTCTGGTAATAAAATATTATTATTATCTATATTTGATTTATTTTTTTATCTTCTTCTATTGAACATAATTATTGATTATATAAATATGCTAAATCATTAATTGCTTTAGATAGATATAAAAAACAATATTCATATCATAAACCTTGTAGTTGAAAGCATTTTTTATGATAAGCATGTCTACATATTAACACATTAATTTGATTATCTGCTATTTCAAAACAATTAATATAATCACAAAAATTATGCTAACTTGGTATAGTTTGTGAATGATATCCTAATAGTAAAGCATCTAATGAGAATCTATATTCAATATATAGAAAGTAACAATAAACTTTTTTAACAATTTTTTCTTCAACTTTTTTTTCTATCTTGCTTTAATATTTCCAAACATTTTCAAAAAAATCTAAAAAAATGATTGCTGTAATATTAACTAATTCATTAAGATCTTTTTTTGTATATAGATAATCATGTTTAAATATAAATAACTTAATAAAATCATTATTTTGTCAAAGATTATCTATAAACAAAGCATCACATCTAAGTGATTTTGCTGTATTAACTTTAGCATTTGTGTGCCATTGAAGCAAGCTATAGAAATTTTTAACTGGATACTCATCAAATATATTAAATTGATTTTTCAAAGTATCTATTATAGAATGTTCAGTCATTTTTCAGTAATAAAAGTCTAAAATAAATGCAAGTAAAATCTTATCATAGTTATGTTGATTAAATCTTTTTATAACACTTCATAGTCTAAATACAGTGCTAACATATTCATCAAAATAATTGCCTCAAAACAAAATAATATATATGTCAAGTGTCACTAGTACTAAATTGTCTAATAAATCAAAAAATGTTCTATATCCTATATCTTTTGAGAACCTAAATCTTACTACTACATATTCTTTAACTATTTGCCAGCCTGCATGTGCTAAGTAAAGTAAAAGATTAATTTGCTAAGGTCATGGCTTAGCAGCAAGTTTTTGTTTTTTACTAAATATAGTTTGGTATAAAAGATTAAAAAAACTTTAAAATACTAAAAAAACTGATTCATATGTATTTAATAATAGGTGAAGTGCATCAAGAAATGGAACCAGATGAGTAATTTCTTTTGGAATCTTTAAGTTGTTTAATACTAATCTTTGAATGATAGCTTTTCTAATATTTAGTTGTCCAGAAAAGTCTACTAGAACAAGAATTATAGAATTACTTAAATATTCCTGTATTTCAGATAATTTTTTAAAATATATATTGTTAATTTTTAAATATATTATTACAATAATTTTACAAAATTAATTAAATTTATAAACTTTATAAATGTTTTAATAGCATCAATATAATTTTTCATGTTTTTTAAATCCAATTTTATTAAGTCAATAAGTTTTGTTTGATTAAATTGATGACCATATCTTTTAAAAATATTAGCATCATAAGAATGTACTACTAGTGATTCAATAAGTTCAGATTCATTTGCATATATTATATCACAAATCTACTTCCAATTAATTTTTTCAAAATTATAACTGTTGGCAAATGAAATCATATATTGTTCCCAAAGAATAGTTTTAAGAAGAACAGAGTTTATACTATTAAAATTGTAAACTGAAATCCATATTTAGAATAAAAAGGAATCAGTAATGCTTTTGCTATATTAAACAATATAGTTGCCATATGTGCTATCTGAGATATTGACATTGCACTAGATATTCATATTCCATGAAGATTATGGTAATCATCGATACAGCAAACTATATGATTATTTGACTATAATTTAGCAGTAATTTATTAAATATTACTATTACAATAATTTTAAATTTAAATTTTAAATTTAAATTTTACTTACACAATTTCTAATATATTTTTGAACATTTACTTTATGGGATTTAACAATTTCCTTAAGCTTATTATAAACTGTTTGGTAAGTTGTACATATTCCCATATTAGCCATAGTATTTATACAATGTGATAATGCCCCTGACCATAATATAAATAGTCTAATTTCAGTTTTTATATTACTTATTTGTTTGTTTCATAATCCAGCCATCTGATAATAAAGTAATATAACTTTTTGTACAGCAACTCTTTGGTTTGTTGGTTTTTTTCTCCAGGATTCATAGCTAAAAAGAATGCATTAAACAGTTCTTTTAATTTTAGTTCATAACTTTTAATTTTAGTTTATAACTTTTAATTATTTTAATAAATTCTTGTACATCAAAAATAGGTAGATTTTTTTCATGTTGATTATTATATAGTACTTTAGTAAGATAAGAGATCTGAATATCAAAAAGCTCTGAAAAATTTTCAGATACTATAAATATTTTATTTTTAAAAATTAAAATTTGTAATAACAGTATTTTCTTAAATAAAATATTAAATATGACTAATTAAATTACCATCTATTGTTTCTGAACTTCTAAATTGATTATGTATTAATTCAACACTTTGAATATTATAATCATCTTTGGATACATCACTTTCTTTCACTATTTGAGATAATTTTTTGAATTTATTTCCTTTATTCGTCAATTTAACTTTAACCTTCACCTTACTAATACTCTCATTATTATTTTCAATTACATCATCAAGCAGTTTATCATTACTATCCTTCAAGGCTTTTTCGAAATTCATCCTTTCTTCCTTATCCAATTCAATTAATTTTTTCTCTCTTTTGACTTCAGGCATAGGTAAATCATTCATATTCATCATTTTGCTCTGTAATTGCACTTTCAATCGATTATTAGCACCTCTTGGTTTATAAGATAATACAATGTGTTTTTTTGATACCTTGGTTCTCTTTTTTTTCCTCGATCATATATGACATAGTTATTATAATAGAGTTGATATAGCTGATCATTAATCTGAAGCTTATTAGCAACAGCTAAACTTTTTTTTACTCTAGCAAGTAAATGCTCAGTTAGTTTTCTAAACTTTTCTTCAGAATCTTGACAATCACATATAGCATAAGGTCTCTTATTTGATGTTGGTTTCCTCTTGACATTATTACTAAGCAAATTCAAAACTAAAATAGGATCAAAAAAAACTATTTCGGAATCACTAAAGTAAACATTATAATGAATCTCTAACTAAAATCTTTGTTTGCTTTATTATGTAGTGTCTTGTAACTTAAATATATAGCTTTTTAGATATTTGATATATATTTAATTAATTGTTCTGATTGGTTCATATCACATGCAACTCTAAATTTAATCAACCAATGAAATAGATTTTTAACCATGCTATTTATAAGTAGGTCTGTATTTGTTAAAAAGGTTGTTAATATTATGGGGCTAGTAATATAACCTTATTACTAATATTAAAGTTTATTTCATGATAATGTTGGTTTGCATATTTTGTTTGCCTTTTTTGAACTATTATTAAAGTATCTTTGGCAACTTTAATCATGTTGTTCCAATAGTTAATAAAGTCTTCAACAGCAGGTACTTAATTAAGTTTGTTGGTTACAAGTAAAGCAGAAGTGTTAAAGTATTGTCTACAATCTAATTCAAATAGAGTAAATCCATTAGATGCATGTTTAGAATTATTGTAAGCAAATTCAGCTGCAAGCAAATACTCATCTCAAGTATTCTGTTTGTATATTAAATATGCTCTAAGCATTTCCTTTAAAGTACAATTCATTCTTTCAGTTTGGCCATCAGTTTGAGAATGAAAAGCTATAAACATTGCTAATTTAGTTCTAATATGATTAAAAAGTGATTTCCAAAAATTACTTGTAAATTTAGCATCTTAGTCAAAGATTATAACTTTAGGTAATTCATGGTTCGTAAAAATAGTTGAGAAGAAAATTTTAGCAACTTTAGATGCAATAATGGTAGTATGTGTAGGTTGAAAATAAGCTTTTTTAGTTAATCTATCAACAAAAACTACAATAGCATTATATTTCAATCATGTAGTAGGTAAATGAACAATAAAGTCTATAATAATTTTTTTCATTTTGTTGTTGAAGTTGTTAATGTTTCAAGTAACCTAGCTGGTTGTTGATTATGACTTTTATTACATTGGCAAGAGTCAAAAGTTAAACCAAATTTCTTGACATCCTTGCTTATTTTTGGCCAGAAATAATCTCATTGAATTACTTATAAGTTTTATTACTCTTAAGATGTCCTACTATTTTAATATTATGATATTCCTCCTATAATTTAGTCCTTAATCTCTTATTCATAGGAATAGCTAGGCATTGGTCCTCTTTTAAATAAAGCCTATTGTCTCTTAACTCATAATGTTGAGCACAAGCTTGTTATTTTTTGTCACTTAAATTAGGATTTTTTAAAGCTTTGTAAATAGAAGCAAAGTAATTGTCCTCAAGATATTTTTTCTTAAAGTTTGTAAGATAAGAATAAATAACAGAAAGATTGGTCAAATGAGATTGTCAAGATACAGCATTAGCTACAACATTTGTTTTTCTAGGTCTATAATTAATATCAAAGGTACAAGATTGTAAAATTTCAAGATAGCAAGCTTTTCCTTTGAAAAGATTGTTTTAAGACTTAATATATTAATTCTGTAACTCTCTTCATAGAACACTTGTACCAAATTTTACTAAAAAACATTTAATTATTCCTCAAACCTTTACTAAATAAACCTTACTTGAACTCTTAAGTAAAGTTGTTGAGCTTACTTTTCTCCATCTAGGTGGCCAAGTTTTAAGTCCCAACACCACTTGGCTACCAAGAAAAGTTCTAAAAACCAAACTTTTAGTTTTTGCTTATTTATTATATATTTTACTAAGTTAACATATCTTAATCCTTAGTAGAAAATATCAAGCACCTCAAGCCAGTCATTTTGATATATAATTTATTTTAAACAAACCAAAACTCACTAAGATACAAACAAAAAGATAAAAACTAAAACCTATTTTTACAGGTTTTTTCATTGGCATTTTAGGAAAAACTGCAAAGGTGCCCCAAAAATTTTACTTTTCTGGCACCCATTAAATTTTCTTAAACATCCAATTAGCTTCCACAAATATATTATAATCAACAAATCACTTCTAAATAACCTAATAGCTCTTAAAATTAAAAAATTTTTCTTAAAATCAATATTACACAAATAATTTATATTATCTAAATTTTATATCTATTGCCAAAAAAGATAGTTATATACAATGCCAAGTATTATTACTGTTGAATCTGACTCTTTTGACTTCAATAATTATATTACCAAACATAGTAACAGTTTCGGCACTGTTACCTATAATAGCAACATCTGAACTCTTAAAGTTTTACCTATCAATTTCAATCCTACATTATGTGACTCTCAAAATAACTTTTATTTTTTTGTTAAACCTACTGAACCTGTAATTACCACCTGTCTTTGCAAAAAATATCACATATACTTCGTTTCTCAACATATTACTATTCTAGTATATCCACATTCTACTTCCAAAAATACTTCAGACTCATCTAACTTCATAGAAATAGATTTCAATATGAAATTATTTAAGTCTCTTAAAAGTCTTTCAAGATTCAAATTTCAGCCAAAACATGAAATCATCTATCCATTCCCTACCTTCTACAATGATATTAGAAAACCTTTACAACTTCTGTTTCTTTCAAACTATACTTACATCATGCACATACTTGTATATATATAAAATTAAGAATATATCATATATTATTTTGAAAGATAGCAAACACTTTCTAGACCCACAAGCCCTAACCTTTGTAACTAGTGAAGGAAGTTTTCCTGCCTATACAAAATATATTCATTCTTTCAAACTAAAATACCCAACTCCTTCAACACCTATAAACTGGGAACAACACAATCTATACTGTAAAATCAAATGCTGGCAATTATTAGCAGAAGAAAAACAAAAACTTTTCAAAAAATTCTTTACAAAATTACCCAAGAAAGCCAAAATCATAAATGATTCTAAAGACAACAAACAAACAAAAACCAATAAAATTCAAAAAAACCCAAAAGATAATAATTAAAAACAAAATGATAAACAAAAAAAAAAAAAACTACTCAAAAACATAATACAACAAATGACCTTGACAAGTTTCTAAACTATCTTATTAATTCTAAAATGGAACAACATAGTAAATTGAGCACACCACTAGCTTTACAAGTTTTCTTACTTCTAAAATCACATCTTGTAAACTTCAATCTAGGTCAACCAATCTCAACTGAACCAACTGACACAAAACCAAATAACAGACCTTTTGCTAAATATTCATTTAACTATATACTTAAGAAAATGGCTAGCAGTAAACCTAAATTCCTAACTGATTTTATTCTTGAAGCTAATCCTGAATTTGACAAATCAAATTCTATTCCTTTTAAAGTTTTAGTTGAAACTCTTAAAGGCTTGTTATCTAAATTTACAACAGTACTTTTTACTCAACTAAACTATCTATATATTTTTCGATTATATTATTCCATTCCATTATACTCAGCAAATAATAGAAAAAAGTTGCCATCAACATGGCATGCTTACATTTATATTTAAACCACATCTACAAAACTATTAACTTCAAAAAATTTATGAAAAAACTTGACATCAAACCTCTACACTTTACTTTAAACTTTGATATTGATTATAATGCAGATAAGCTACTATTTGATATTCAAAATGACAACCGATTCAATATTAAAGTTAAATTAAATATTCCTACAAAAAAATTTGAAGATGACTTCAAAATTTCTTCACTTAAACCCCATACCAAAACTTATGAAACCTGTTTCAAAAATTCTTTAAAAAGTACAAAATTCAATTTGAAAAAATTGACTAACAAAAAACAAGCAACTATATCAAAATGTTAATTTCTTAAAAACTTATTAAAGACTGCAAAGAACTTTTACCAAAAACCTACTCTTTTCCAAGTACTTTATCTACACTTCAAGAACAATCTAAAGCTACTTTTAAAGAGCACTTCATCATTTTCATAAATGTAATAACAAATCTTGTAACTTATTTCTAGAAAAAACAGAACATTGTCTTGAAAATATTTCCAACTACTATTTCTCACAATCATTCAAATTTCATTTGGTGTTAGAATCTAACACAAAAGAATAGAACCATCCTCTATTAGAAACTAAATTATTTCAACCAAAACAACAATTAGCAGCAACATTCTCAAAACCAACACCTACAACTAAACTAAGAAAATTAGCCATATCAACTGAAAAAGACTTTGCATCACTTAATAATGTAAATAATGAAATTGCTTGAACTACATACTATTTTACCAATACTTAAAAAAATACCTACAAATAGCAACAGAAAATAATGGTATTCAAGAGTTATCTAAAGAGAAAGCTCTTAAAAAAATCATAGTCTCTACTACTATTGTATATACATTAGCTCACATAATTATCTATTATGAAATTCGATCTCAATTTAAGATATTCCTCAAACAAATTAAAATTAACTATGATAAAATATACTATCCTGAAGCTGAAAATTTCCAAATTAAACACTTCAATATCTCTATTTCTACACAATACAATAACATGCTCTTTATGCAAAAATCAAATAATTCTAAAGAAAAAGAAGAAGAAAACTCAACTATATCTATTACTAAGAATATTGATTCTAATAACTTTACCTCCAAAATGTATTCTTTGAAAACCCTAATTCACAAAAAGAAACTTCTTTTCAATAAGTTCTTCTACAGATAACATTAAAGCAACTGCTACTTCTAAGATTATGATGTTCTTCATTCTTAGTAGGCCATTATTAAAGG